ATTATTATTATTATTATTATTATTATTTTCTACCACAGACGTGGCCATACAGTTACAATGCTAACCAGCATATATACATTTTCTTCTGTCCTCCATGGACAGGGTTAGAGAAGTGTTAAAAATATAGTTCAAGGGTTTATTGAACAATCAACCACAGAAGGTGATTCGGTGCTTTTAAAATGCTAAGCTAACCTACATACGTAAATACATAGATACACAGATTTACGTATGCTCTACATAAAGTGTTCGATGTGTCTTTTACATAGTGTCATTAATGTCCATTTACAAAGGTGAACATTAGACGTCGACTAGGAAACCGGACAAGTGAACCAGATTTATCTCTAAATGGCTCAATTTTACTACAATCCAAGATATTGTGTTCGAGTGTGTGTCCCTGTCTTTGTCCACACACTTTACTTCATCTAGATCCCTATACAAGCCGAACTGCCAGAGATACTTGTAACCAAGTCTTATACGAGCTGTGACAACATCTGTTAGTCTACTGACTTTGTTACTTGCCCCATACACATGTTTTACTTCACACATGTCATTGTGATGAACAATAGACCTGCTAGTTCCAGTTTGCACAGTTCCCCGCGAGTCAACGTTAGACCTGGGCCAGGTTAACGCTGTGTGGATTGATGACCCGTGTGGAGCCTGTCGTGTTAGTGTCTTCAGCTTGATTTACGGCGGGTTAATCTGTGGAGAAAACCCCTACCGCCCCTGACGTGCGGGATGGTTAGGTGGGAGAGAAGACTGACAGGATAGGAAAGAGGAGAGGAAAGGTGGGACAGAAGACGAGAGGAGAGGTACAAAAACACCATTAATGAAGGAGAGAGAGAGCCTGCAAATACGTTTTCTTTGTATGTATTTATGAATATATGTTTACTAAGCTTGGGGCACTGAAGCACGATGATGTATGATGTGAGTATACATAACAGACACTTGGGGGGGGGGTTGAGACAGACCTAGTCGAGGTCTTCACTACGTCACACATCTTCCTCACCAATTAGATAGTGTTCACCTGACCACGTCATTAGTCTTCCCGCCAATCAGTTGGAAGCATCAAGATGACGTCTTAGCGGGATGAATGGAAGGTTTGTCTCTTGGCTTGTGTGTGTGTGTGCACTTGCCTATATGTACTCACTTGTGTGCCTCCACGATCGAGCTTTAGCTCTTTACCCCGCCTTTTTTTAACCGCTGGTTGTTTAGTATGAGACTCCTGCCTTATCCCTCTATCATATTTGGCTTGGAAATTATGAGTGGAGTTCGCTTCTATAACTTCCTCGTATTGTTCACTTAATTTTCCCACTATGTTGACCAGACCACACACTAGAAGGTGAAGGGACGACGACGTTTCGGTCCGTCCTGGACCATTCTCAAGTCGATTGTGTTGTCAATTGATTGTGTTACTTCAGCCACGTTATTGTGACTCATCGCCTGCTTTTCCCACTACGCTTACGCTTAAAGAAACTTTCAAACATCTCTTAACTTATCCGAGTCTCAAGCTTCCATCCATGCCTTCTCGTTCTTTTAGTATTGGTTTTGAAAAAATAATCTTTACCATTTTCACAATCTCACAATCGACTTGAGAATGGTCCAGGACGGACCGAAACGTCGTCGTCCCTTCACCTTCTAGTGTGTGGTCTGGTCAACATACTTCAGCCACGTTATTGTGACTCATCGCCTGCAATCTTTACCACTTTGTCAATCTCCCCTAACTATTCTGAGTCTCCGCTCTCTCTTTCTCTAGCGATATCAGGTCTACTTCTTTCCGTTTTCGTATTCCATTCCTCGCAATTCCGGAACGAGGCTCGTTGTAAGCCTCTGAACCATTTTTGGATGATGACTCCGCGAAGGTGCGACCCACTTAAGTCTCACGTTGGCAGTGTGATCTAAATGCCTTCTTATTTAGGCTCCTGAACGATGTTCTGACTTCGCTCAGATAACAATAGCAATATACTATTATCTGAAGATTACAGCATGCTGCTACTGTTATGCTACTTGTATGTTCCTCTGGAGTTAGGCTTGTTGTTAAATCCACTCCCAAGAGAGAACTAGGTAAACACTTCCAAATAATATCTGATCATCCAGGCTGCAATTTACTTCAGGCTCCGAGCAGCTGTGTCTAACAGACAGGTTAACCAGACCACCAGCCAGGAGGCGCGGACTGGAACAAGACTGTGGGGAACAATGAACCTTGGAACCAATGCAAGGTAACCGCAAGGGAAGATAGCTCCCATAGCTTTATTTTCATCTTATGATACATTTTCATCTTATGATACTAGTTGTCTAATTATTTCCTCTTCTTTTATCACAATATTTGTCAATAGTATCTAAGGTAATGTTCTTTCCTAGCACTGGGAGGTGTTCCAGCTGAGTAAGGAACGCATCTTGGACACTGGCACTTAACTCCTCGTGAATTTCTTGGTAGTTTTCTGCATATTCTGTTCTCTCTGGTGTAATCTAGCCAGTTGGTCACATGCTGTAATTTTTCTTCATTTATGAATGCACTAGCTTCCGTTCTTTCTTTGTTTTGGATGCAATGTGTGTGTGTGTGTGTGTGTGTGTGTGTGTGTGTGTGTGTGTGTGTGTGTGTGTGTGTGTGTGTGTGTGTGTGTGTGTGTGTGTGTACTTACCTAGTTGTGCTTGCGGGGGTTGAGCTCTGGCTCTTTGGTCCCGCCTCTCAACCGTCAATCAACTGGTGTACAGATTTTTGAGTCTACTGGGCTCTTATCATATTTACACTTGAAACTGTGTATGAAGTCTGACTCCACCACATCACTACCTAGCCTGCAAAATTTTATATTATTTGATAGGTGAAATTACACGATATCGTTAAAGAAATATTAAAAACTAACATGAGAACAGTGGGAGTAACTGGCCTCAGAGACACAATCTATTAACATAGTCAACGTTTTTTTATTGTAAGATTAATGTTCAATCCTTAACTGTATATTTGTGGTATAAACTAAGTAACGTATTTAAGACGTGTAAGGTAATTGAGCTGAAGGAATGTTAAAAAAATCTCATTTCTAAAAAATTGTATTAATAGAAATACTAGATTATACTGACTAGTACAAACTCCCACCTTGGGAAAAATTAAACAGTCCATTGAACTCCTTGGAAGGAAATGTGTAGAACTCGGTTTCACTCTCTCCACAAACAAGACAATCTTGAGAGCATATAAAAGTATACTCTCACCACAAGCGGGGAGAAAATGAGGGACTCCAAATTAATTGTGTAACACTTGAGTGGGTTGACCACTACATACTTGTAGTGGTCAACCCACCCAGAACGTCACTCTCAGCTCTTACAAGAGGAAGAAAGTGGAGCTCAACCAACTCATAGCAACATGCAAAAGTCGACTCAGAGCACTGAAAGCTATGACCTGGAATGGGCATGGGGCCTCTATTGCCGGGCTTAAGATGATGTATGTACACAGCCTATGTGCGCTCCGTCATTGACTATGCCGCACCAGTTTTATGCACTTATTCCTAAAGTGATATGAACAAACTTGAAAACATACAAAATGAAGCCTTGACAATCATTCTTGGAGTCCCAAGAACTGCCAAAATATCTAATCTACGAGAGGAGTTGTCCCTTCCCAGTGTTAAAACAGAATTAAGGAACTGAATGCGAAATTTGCAATTAAGACAGCCAGAGATCCCCATAACAATATTATTGCCAAGAAAAAACTGAGGTATGTGCTACTTACAGAAGGAAACAGGAGAAGCAAAAAATATAAACACCGGCCAGTCTGCTACCTGGAAGAACTTCACCTGCTTGCAGGATTATCATCAATGAAATGACAACGAAAAAGTCCAACATACCACAAGAAATGAGTCAGAGGTATCTGGAGGAAATTTATAAAGAAGCTGGAAAGGAACTAGATAAAATCTACACTGATGGTCATCTAGCCTTGTCAATGGCAGGGCTGGTGCAGCATACTGTAATTAGGAATAATGTCTTTCAAGGCAGAAATGAAGAAAAAGCACGTATTGAGAACTATGCCTCTTCAACGCAAGCAGCAGCTGTTCTTAACTGCGTTAAGATTCCTTGAGCGAATCACTAACGGTGCACTGACCTGCACCGATTAACAAGCAGCACTACAAAGTCTTAGTAAAAATCGGGCAGAAAACCTTGCGATAGTCGCTGAAATTAAGAGAGCTGTGAGAGTACTTACCAATCAGGGAAGAGTCGTCAAGTTTCTGTGGATCCCCTCCCATGTTGGAATATGTGGGAATGAACGAGCAGATGTGCTGGCTGCTGAAGGCGCTGAAGGAGACCATATTGAATACTTCATACCCAAGACTTTTTTACAAATTAGAGATATTGTCAGGCAACATCACCGTGACAAGGTAACTGAGGAAAGGAGGATAGAAGCACAAACCAGTGAATCTGTACGATGGTACAACATGGTTACAGCTGGCAATCCCAATCATTATGGACGAAGAGGAGGACGACGAGGGAGAGAATCAGTAATAGCGAGAATTCGTCTTGGATACAAGTATCCATGGAGATTCGGAATGGAAACAACAGTTGAGCAGCGGAGTTGCAGAATCTGTGATGAGAGTGACGGACACCGCCTTGACCACTACCTGAAAGAGTGTGAACATCTAAGTGTCATTAGAAATATGTGTAGAATAATTAACCCCACATTGTTTGAGTAAAGAAAACACTTTGTCAAATATTGATACTGTTTTTAGAGATTCCCCCATTTTGCACTCGCAAGATAATGTAAGATTTTAAGGGTTGGAAAAGGTTAATCTTCTTGTTTTGATAAGCTGTTCACTTGAGCCAGTTAAGCAAGTCCCAGCTGTATCTGGATACAAGGGACAGGATGAACAACCCAGCGGGTTTTCTTCCTATTGGGGAGTGTTGAACATGCTGCTATGGCAGTATGACCACTCACAGAATGAGTCCCGCTGCCCAATAAACTCGTCTCTCGGGACAAAATAAAAAAAAATTATACTGACTGATACGTTTTTCCTCTCCAGATGTGTGCCGAGCAGAGGTTGGCGTGGAGGCTGGTGAGTTGAGGCAGCTGGCTAGCATGAAGGGAGGCCACTACGTCCATGCCCAGCTGGCCTAGACCCGCTCACCCCTCGTGCAGGAGATGGCCACCAGCAGGACCCCGGGCCGCAGGTCACGCGGCCACGCGGGGTCAGAGGCCACCAGCCCCCAAGACCCGTACTCCGAGATTGAACTGTATCTGCGTAAGGCCGAGGTTAGTACGCTTTTAAAGTTTTTGTTGGTGTTGACGGGCCAGTGTTGAGAGCCTGTATATGCGTTCAGTTGAAATAAACAAGATTCCTGAAATCCTTTGACTGTTATTGATACAGTATAGTGTTGCGAGGTGAGGGCGTGTTACACAACTAGGAGAATACAAGGGGCTTGTGAAGGAACACTGCCGGTGTATCTTTCAGCGAGAACTACATAAATCTGGTTTTATAAGTCCTACTTACGAGGACCGAGTGTCGCATGCTGCAGTATCAGTTATTCTGTACCTGGTTGATGGGGTTCTCTACTCCCCAAGCCCGGCCCGAGGCCAGGCTTGACTTGTGAGAGTTTGGTCCACCAGGCTGTTGCTTGGAGCGGCCCGCAGGCCCACATATCCACCACAGCCCGGCTGGTCCGGCACTCCTTGGAGAAAACAATCTAGTTTTCTCTTGAAGATGTCCACGGTTGTTCCGGCAATATTTCTGCCATGGTGTACCTGGCCCTCCAGTATTTTCCATGTGTATATAATATGATATCATCCAGGAAGTGAACTGCGGTGTTGGGATGGCCACGTGGACCTGCGGGCTGCTGCCAGCCACAGCCTGATTGATTAAGGTTTCTCCAGGTAATCCTGCCCTTAGGCCAGGGTGTGGAAGAGGGACCCTGGACACCAGCCGTAGATAAGCACAGGTCTTTTTTTCAGGAAGATTCCATAGGTAGACATTAGCATAACAATGGTCCTCTCTGAAAAAGTTTTCCGTCCACATATATGGCTGAATGTGCGGGGGGGGGGGGTCCCCGTGTATGGCTGAATGTTGGGGAAGTCGCCCTGTATGGTTAATTTGCCCCCCCCCCCCTCAATCTGTGTAAGTTTTACGTTGTAGGAAGGTGTGTACATCCCTACCGTACAACCAACCAAAAGCCGTCGAGTGCTTATTCTTTGATCAGATCACCCTGTACACTTCCTGCTCCAGGAGAGGGGTTCAGCGTCCCACATTTAGGGGTGATCCTGGACGGCATGGGTTCGAATCCTGGCCGGGTCAAAGAGTTCTTAGTGATCTATGGCTTGCGCGTTCATGCAGCCTTCTCACACACATATATATATATATATATATATATATATATATATATATATATATATATATATATATATATATATATATATATATATATATATATATATATATATATATATATATATATATATATATAAATATAAACACACACACAATTTGTATACACATACACATGGGTATTAATATTCTTCATCACGAATAAAGCTTTTGGTTTGATACTGGTTAAAGAATATTCAGTTCTTTTAAAGTTAAAGTGTCTTAAATAGGAGAGTTGTCGTACGTTAACATTTATTTTCAAGCGTGACTTCTTCGTTAATTATTATATTTGGAAGCCTTTTCTTCAGGACGGGGGAGAAGTTTCATCTAGTTCAGTTACCGCAGGCAAGTTGCCTTTACTCAGAGAATGGGTTCAGCTGTCGTGACAGAAAACGTAAAGTTAGGGTATACTTAATTGTATATATTGTCGTTGCTGGGAGAAATTTCGAGACATGTATATTAGTTATATAAATTATTTTAGTAAACGCAGTTGCATAGACAAGCACAACGCCAAATGCGGTGCTATGTTTGATGATACCTACCTTGACTCTAGCTTGTGGAGGTTCCGAGGATCAACGACTCTGCAACCCGGTCTCCGACTGATCTTTTCGGTTGGTCGTCTGGTCAACCAGGCTGTTGGACGCGGCTGCTCGCAGTCAGACGTATGAATCACAGCCAGGTTGATCAGGTATTCTTTGGATGTGTTGGTAGAGTTATCTCTTAATGTGATGTGCAGCCCGTCTTCCAAACAAAGACCCAAAAGTGATTCCATGCACCCACCAAACCCCCTGTTTATGAATGAAAAACGGTTTATACACGACTCACAACTGATGGCGTTCGAACACTTCCGGAACAAGTGCTTCACTGACGAATTTTGTTCAAACCACAACGCTGTAAATGCTTCACCCACGTACTACAAATACAAATAATCGCCAACAGAACCCAAACACTTAACCTAACCAGTGCCTATATATGCATAATATGCTAATATATTATAATATTAATTTATATTTGAGAACATTCCCGTTTTGAATGAACAGCATGTTAAAATTTATGACTGCGACCGTGGGGTCGACCGCTGGATGTAATGGACTTGAGTCGAGGACGGGTTGGCTGATGTGGGAGAGAAGGATGAAGGGGGGGGGGGGTGGAGGGAGGGCTGGATTAACATGCATTTGGCATTTTTATGAGAATGTTCTGAGGCCTTCCATCCTGCGGTCAGCGGCTCCACTTCTCACAGGTTCAGAGGTCTCTACCTCATACCCATTTATATAATGTATATATATAATGTCGTACCTAGTAGCCAGAACGCACTTCTCAGCCTACTATGCAAGGCCCAATTTGCCTAATATGCCAAGTTTTCATGAATTAATGTGTTTTCGACAACCTAACCTACCTAACCTAACCTAACATTTTCGGCTACCTAACCTAACCTATAAAGATAGATTAGGTTAGGTTAGGTAGGGTTGGTTAGGTTCGGTCATATATCTACGTTAATTTTACCTCCAATAAAAAAAAATTGACCTCATACATAATGAAATGGGTAGCTTTATCATTTCATAAGAAAAAAATTTGAGAAAATATATTAATTCATGAAAACTTGGCTTATTAGGCAAATCGGGCCTTGCATAGTAGGCTGAGAAGTGCGTTCTGGCTACTAGGTACGACATTATATATATATATATATATATATATATATATATATATATATATATATATATATATATATATATATATATATATATAATATAATATATATATATATATATATATATATATATATATATATATATATATATATATATATATAATATATATATATATATATATATATATATTATATATATATATATATATATATATATATATATATATATATATATATATATATATATATATATGAGGGGGGAGGTAGGGAGGGGGGTATACCCCTCTAGTTAAAATGGGGGACTAATAGCCCCCCGAGAAAAGGACATATAATGCATTAGAATAGATTTATAGGTTTCCATAATACAGATTCCATGTTCTTTAGTTCTTCCACACCCCCTTTTACAGTTTTTTATTTTTATGTGTTTAGAATTTTTTTAAACGTTCCAAGTTGGTGCATATGATGAAAGGTTTAAGAGTTGTTAATAGGACCCAGGTGTTACAGGGAGGGGGGTGCCACCAATCAGGTGTTACAGGGAGCTGGTGCCACCAATCAGGTGTTACAGGGAGATGGTGCCACCACTCAGGTGTTATAGGGGGGGGGGGGTGCCACCACTGAGGTGTTAGAGGGAGCTGGTGCCACCAATCAGGTGTTACAGGGAGATGGTGCCACCACTCAGGTGTTATAGGGGGAGCTGGTGCCACCAATCAGGTGTAACAGGGGGAGCTGGTGCCACCAATCAGGTGTTACAGGGAGGGGTGTGCCACCACTGAGGTGTTACAGGGAGCTGGTGCCACCAATCAGGTGTTACAGGGGGAGCTGGTGCCACCAATCAGGTGTTACAGGGGGAGCTGGTGCCACCAATCAGGTGTTACAGGGGGAGCTGGTGCCACCACTCAGGTGTTACAGGGAGGTGGTGCCACCAATCAGGTGTTACAGGGAGGGGGTGCCACCAGTCAGGTGTTACAGGGAGAGGGGGGGAGGGGAGGTGCCACCAGTATTATCCCCGTGATGACGGGAAGGTGAAGAATGTTGGCACTAGGGCTCTCCAGTTGGCCGTTAATCAACAAGTGCTTCAGATGATAGCACCTGCGGGGTCTTTCAGGGCCACGGAGGGTCAGCACAGTGCCGAGTGGAACAGGTGGAGGGCCGCGGGAGTATACACACAGCCAGAGTGCCGTGCGGGGAGTGGCAGACGAGTCAGTAGGGTCGCCATTAGGTTTATGACAGCTTCCCGGGCCTTAGGCGGCACTGGTGTCGAGACCCCGCCGTCGCTTTCTCATCCAGGACGTTTGATTTTCTCCCACTCGATCTTTATTGATGGGAGGTGGAGTGGTGGGTAGGAGAGGTGGGGGTCGGGGAAGGTGTCTGGGAGCTACGACACAGGTGAGAGCGAGGCGCCGACTGGCGGGAGTAGCGTGTTTGGGGGCCATCCCTCGTGCGCCGATGCCATGTCGCCCTTTCTAGCCGCTTATGCAGCCGTGACAATGTTTACATTTTGTAGCTGAACTGCTTCATCTGCGAACATTGTATAAATGTGATTTTTACACCCGGTAATTATTGTTCGTTACAGCGAATCCTAATTTGAACAAATACTGGTGGTCCAAGTTAGGTGGGTGAGGGACTCCGGGCACCACGTTCGAATCCCTGGTGATGGCGCGAGTGAGTCTGGCCGCGGCGACGGAGTCGGACGTGTGGGATTGTTTGCTTTGCACATGTTGGGATTTCTGCTCTGTTGTCGTTCAAGGCGCGCCAAATTACCCGTGTGATGGACTGTAATGAACGGAACAAGCACTAAACGTAGGTGTGTGGGCGGGCTGTAGCTCCCGGACCCCCCATTCCTCTACTTTTTATGATGGCAATGTTTTCGTAATTAAGTGCCGCGCGACCTACACCCGGACTCATTCATGGAGCAGGACGAGTGGCTCACAACTGGCTGGTGTACACAAGTGGCTGCTACCAGGTGTGTGACCACTGGCTGATGTACACAACACAAGTGGCTGCTACCAGGTGTGTGACAACTGGCTGGTGTACACAACACAAGTGGCTGCTACCAGGTGTGTGACAACTGGTTGGTGTACACAAGTGGCTGCTACCAGGTGTGTGACAACTGGCTGGTGTACACAACACAAGTGGCTGCTACCAGGTGTGTGACAACTGGCTGGTGTACACAACACAAGTGGCTGCTACCAGGTGTGTGACAACTGGCTGGTGTACACAAGTGGCTGCTACCAGGTGTGTGACAACTGGCTGGTGTACACAGCACAA